ATCATAATAAAAGGTGAGTATGTTTACATTTATCTCTTACTAAGTTCGAGTCCTGCTTGTCATAAAACTATATATTTTTCAACCAATTTTCATTCCATTTTATTTAGTTTCTATTTAATCGTGTACAGCTAAATAAAATTATGTCCCTTCCAGGGCATCAAATTTTTTAATTAGTTTGACCAGTTCAAAAGTGTACCACATAAAATTTACGATATTTGTTGTTGCGAGATGCGGATGAGCGCTACGTCATTGACGTTCTGGTTTTAACCTGGGATGCAGTATTTTTAGTTTATACATAATTTTGTCTTGTCTTGTCTTCTCAGACTTTGATTTTCAATCGATTGATTGATGTGTGTGTTTTGTTATTGTACTTTTATTTAATTAACGATTAAATTGTTCAGGAGAATAAATTTTCTTATTTTTATGTAAGATTTGCTAATTTTCTTTGTTTTGGCAGGAGATCCCCGACGCATATTTTTCTGTGACTATGGTAAGGAACGAACTTTCTACAAGGACGTAAACCAACCTTTTACAATGGCTCACGAGCTCAAAGGCTACATGAATAATCGATGGCGATAAAGAGCGAGTAAAACTGCGAGATATAAGCTACTTCAATGGCTCCCTCTACTGGACGAAGGCTGGCAGTCCCAAAGGCATCGCTGTCATGACTAATTACGATAAAAGCAGTCGATCATTCGACATCAAAGACAACCTACTTAACGGTGTCGCACCCTATCAATTGCTCATCATTAATGTAAATCCATGATCAATATTTGACAGAAAAGAGCCCGGTTGTCTATTGTTTATTTGTTTCAGCGTTGTCAACATTGTTGTCATTAAAATGTTGTTCTTAAATCTAAATGAATATGGGTCAAACAAACTGTGGAACGTCAATTGACAGATTCTCATGCTCAGTATGGTCTGCTTGAAGGGGCGGCCGAGCGACTTCCAAAGTGGGGAGGGGCACCAAGAAAAAAAGGGCACTATCTGGAAAAAAGGGCACCTACAAACGGAAATCTCAAAGCGAAAATATACACATTTTAGACATTGGTAAATACCCCTACATTGTGATTACAATTATCAGGGATGATTTCAATATTTGTTTCACTTTATACACCATACAAGATATTGCTTTAAGCATCATGCTATGCACTTGGGTTTGATTGTCTAAAGATCGTGTGCAAGCGAGCGAGGAAAAATGTTAAGATGTGTGAGGTCGCAGTACGAAAAATTACATCTTATAAAGAGGAAAAAACCCAATCCTAATGGGGTTATAAGCATATTCTCATAACGGAAGACTGAACAGACCTTTGAAAAGTAACGTAAATATATCATCTATTGCTCTTTAGAGTCGCTTGAAATTAGCTAGGGCGTGTTTAATGATGAGAGAAAAAGGGGACACTTATCAGGAAAGAAAAGGAGCATGTGCCAAAGTACAAAGACTAATTATCAGAGGTGAAAATGGGGCACTTCTTACACCCTCAAAAAGGGGCACTCTCCGGGGGTGAAAAACGTCAGTCATCAGAATAGGAAATGGACATTTGTCGACGGAAAAGGGGCCCCCGTCAGATTTATAAGATATTATTATATATTGTTAAAAGGGAAATTATCAGAGGTGAAAAGAGGAGCTTATCGCACCTGAAAAAGGACAATGACCAGATACGAAATGGGACACTTATGTGAATGAAAAAGGGGCACTTGTAATAAAGGAAAATGTGCCTTAGTTAAAAGAAAATGGGCACCGATCAGATTTTAAAGGGGCATTTATCGGACGTGAAGGGGGCACTTATCTGAAGTGAAAAGGAGTAACTTCTCGTACCTGAAAAGGGTCGTTTACCAGAGAAGGGGCACTTATGAGAAGGGGAAGGGGCTCTTTTTTAATGGGGCACTAGTCATTAGGAAAAGGGGCACTTATTATAGAGAGAAAGGGCACATGTGAAAATATTAGGTGCGCTTATCCGAGTTAAAATGGGGGTAGTTATTAAAATGGGAAGGGGCACTTCTAACAAAGGATAAGGGGCACTTCTAACAAAGGAAAAGGGGCACTTGTCAAATTAAAAGAGGCACGTACCCTTTTAGATTTAAATAGGACAATTATCAGAGGTGAAGGGGGCACTTCTCGTACCTAACTATAGGGGCACTAACTAGAGATTAAAAAGGGCACTTATGAGAATGGAAAATGGACACTTATTGCAAAGGAAAATGGGAACCTGTGAAGGAAACTTTTGCAAATTACTAGAGGCACTTGTCAAAGTAAAAAGGGCACTATTCCTATGTTAAAAGGGGCACTTCTTAAAAGTTAAAGGGGCACTTTCGGGTGCTTGAAAAAGTGGGGGCACTGTGCCCCCTCTGCCCCCCCCCCCCCGAGGGCCGCCTGCTTGTATGTACGATAATTCGCATTGCGTTGACTATCGAACCTTCAAACATTCTTTATGTTCAGAAAGATACTTAATCTATCTTATTAAAAGAGATCTGACAATATTAAGTCGTTTTCGCTGTGGCAATCATTACTTGCCGATTGTAGCTGGTAGATATTCAAATACTCTCCGGGAAATGAGGCTATATGTACGCTGTGCAACTTGCAATCGCTTGGGGATGAGTTTCATTACTTGTTTGTATGCCCTGCCTTTCGTTCAGACAGAAAATTGTTCATCCATAAATATTTTATTGAAAGACCGAATACACTGAAAATGGACCGGCTTTTTAACCCTAATAAGGCCGGGCTATTTGAGGTCTTAGTATGGCCGGGGGGGCATTATGGCCCCCCCCCCTTAAGATCTTGGCCGCGAAGCATGTCAAGTGAAGTGTATAGAATAATATGATAATTTCAATTTTTAGAAAAATTTACTCATTTGCATATTTATGGTAATTTATGCAAATAAAGTCATAAAACTCACATTTTTACCCATAAATCATACATTCTTCATAATTAGGCATTCTTTTTCACTACATATATTCATTAGACCATTCTGAATAATAATACAACAAAAAAATTGGAAGAGCCAGCTTATTCCTAATGTTATCCCTTGTTTTGATAATTTCTTATGTATTTCATTGTTTTTTTTAACTTATGTATTTCATTGTTTTTGTTGTTTTATTTCATTTCTTACATCAATTCAACTATTTTGACACCCAAAAAAGCACCTAAACTTTAAACTTAACACCTTAAACAAGAACCAATAACCCATGTTTGATCTGTTTTTAGGAAAAATGACTTTTCCATATGTTTTGTACACAAATCACGAAAATAAGCGATTTTCGGGCTGACATGCAAAGACAAAAGGTCACGTGACCTTGTAACCGAAGGTCCGATTTTCAAAAAAATTCTTTTAAAAGTTGCGCAAGACTCGAAAGAAAAAAGTCAGCGAGTGGCGGGGCGCCATCCATACGCGTTCTTGAGCAATCAGAAAAATTGTGGAGGGGGGGGTGGCCATAATGGCCCCCCGGCCTTATTAGGGTTAACTCCAATAATGTACAAACACGTTTAAACTTAGTAAAATTCTGTCGAAAAATAATGCTTCGTTTTCATTAATGTAAGTATGTGCAAAAAAACATGTTTATCAGTTTAATATTAACTTTATGTTTCCCTTTTTTGTCTTATATCAAATTATTAAATTGATATCAAGAATATTTTCAGTAATTCATTAATTCAAATATCAATTTACTGGTGCCAGTAACTTTTTTTCATTTGGTTCCATTAATGTCGTCATTAATTATCGTTGTAATTATTATTATCGTTTTGTTTTTAATTATTATAATTATCATTATCAATATTGTTATTATTATTACTATCATTATCATCATAATCGTTCTTACTTTTTTCGATAGTGTTATTTTGTATTAATTAACATTAATTCGATTTATATTGTATACTTTACAGTGTTGAATTGACAAATTCTAACTGATTGTAAACTTCTCCAATACCCCAATGTGGGTGACATGAGAATAAATTGTCTGAACTCATATTAAGCGTATTACACTTCATTATTACGTCATCATCAAACAAAAACCGCCGCGGAGAGGGGGGGGGGGGTTCGGTTCAACTACACAAAGTGTGCCTAACAATTAAAGACATATTACGTTGTAAATGATGCTGGTGGAATACTTAAATTTCAGACTTTGAAAATGTCTCACTCTCCACTACTTTGGATATACCGGCCCTGGCCCGCTGTGGATACAAATATGTCAAAGTGTACTCATCTTAAAGGAAGAATGCTTGAAAGTCACATTTCGACTTATTGCAGCATATATTTTCTAGAATTTAGGCTACAGCTGAAGTTAGCGTGGTTGTTTTAGAGGAACAATTGAAATGATACATTATTTCTTGTTGAGGATATGCTTTTAATAATCGATAATTATGCTCATGTTATATTTTGTTTTGCTTTTCAATATTAAATTAATGGTACCATGTAAACCCCGAGATACGAACCGTAATTTTGTATGTATGGATGGTATAAACTCCTTGAAGTGATAGGTCATGCTTGCTCGAATATATCTATCAAACTCTCATTATTTTGCTATCAAACTTTCCATACTCATAATTAAGATTTTCATATCTTGGCCAAAAAAAAAGCATGTAACATTAATTATAGTCCAATGTTATAAATGTACGGAATCTGAATACAGTCTCGTAAAATGTTGAGAATGCAGGAGTGTAACTTGAATTATCGAATTATTTACCTAGGTAAACTGATTAGAAACACTTGTATAAAAATCATTATATTCCACATACAGAAAAGGTTGATCATCCAGCATATAAGTATTGGCGTGTACTGCAAGGTTCTGGAATCATCAAAATGATAATAAATTTGGCCCAGTCTTGGTAAATTAAGTTACAAGCACTGTACACAGAAAGATGTATATGGGACTATGCGATTTCTATCAGGTCGGATCGATATAATAATTTACCAAATATATCAATTAGTAGGCGTTTTCCCGGCAAAACTTGTATCATCACGTATTGGTCAACAAATATTCTTTCACATGATTGGTAATAAGAGCTTCCATTTCATTTTTTGAGAGGGGAACGTTTCCAAAACTGGTCTTTACCTGTAATGTGGTCGGTAACGTATGTGACAAAATAGCTTGGACTTCCCCAAACACGATATAGTTTCTACCGATAATTTTGTACGCCACTGTGGCGTATACGATGATTCGTATTTCCCTAGAAAAGGGAAACATGCATGTAGATCAACGAAAGCCCAGTCATCATTAAAATCATCACCCACGAGCTTAACCCCTTAACGACCAGCAGTGACCTCCCTCTTGATTCGGTCGTGCTCTCGTTTGGTTCTGGTGTGGTGTTCCCTTCAGGATCTCGAGACCCCTCAACATGAAAGTCCTCGAGGATGACGTCTTTGCCACCTCCAGATTTCATCACAATGACGTAATATTCTTGATCATCGTCCATTTCTTTCTCAGGGAAGGACAGGATGTTCTCCTCTGCGTTGGGATCCTCTTCAAGGGCATCGGTGCAGGTCTTCACGATGAAAGCCACATGCATACTCCCGTCAAGGTGGTCCGAAATCTGCCGGATTTCAAATCAAAAGTAGGACTCTACCAGAATTTGCAAATTGAGGTACCTTTTGTGATGTTGATGTTAATGGTGATGTTGATGATTGTGAACAGTTGTTGATGTTGCTGTTGTTGTTATTTTTGTTGTTATTGTAGCCTTGGATTTCTGGGGGCATCGGCTCTGCTCCATAAAGCTGGAAAATACGCCACTGGTTTTCTTATTTCTTCATTTCATTACAAACTTTAATAATACTATATTCGTATAATCCCATTTAACATTTAGACTAGTCTCCGACTTGCGGGTGAATTCGTAGAGTGTTGCTGAAAATACGGTCGATTTTATTGCTATTGTTTTGTTTTGATTTGCAGTGTCATTATGATTTCAGCAATGGTCTAATTCTTTTTTTGTTTTACATGTGCATGTATTTATTACCTCAATACTGTAGCATTCTGCAGCGGGTAATGATTTCGCGAACTGCGTTCCATTAGCTCCGACTCTGCCATCTGAGCTGATGGAATATTTAAATCCCAACGGGTCTCTGTTTCCCGCCAAAATGTCTTCCCGCGCTTCTGCGTCGTCAAGCAGGCTGCCGCTGCGGATGAAGATTTCGACGGTTGCAGTCGATGTGGAGTCGTATCTAGGGATGAAATTAATGCAAGACATTTTTGCAGTTTCCGGCGGTCAATATTGTCTTTGCCACATTTAATGTAAATAAGATCGCAAAGAATTTTGAAAAAGTCAACTCAAGGAAATTTCAATAGCCTTATCCATCACGTATTAAAATGTGCTCACAAGACAATGAGGAACAGCCGAACATGATGATATGCATTATACGATACGGTATTGAAATTGCCCTCGAGTAGATTTCTCGAAATTTTTTGCTATTGTGTTTATTAGACTATATACCCTGTTCACACAATTCTGGCAGAACCTTTTACTTCTTGGTTCCTATTTTTGCCTAATTCTTTAAAAAATTAATTTGTGCTTGAAATGTTTTTTTCTAAAATAAAGAGTGATTTAATCAAGACTTTATGCACAAAGTAATCATTGTTATTATTTTCATGAAAATGGGATATAGTCTGATGAACAAGATCGTAACTACTTTCAAAAATGTTTAAGTCAGGGGCAAATTCAATACACTTTAGTACATCCCATGAAAATGCCCGGTGAAAATCGTGCACGGATTGCTTAATACGTATTTGTAATGTTTTTGTCCCATCCTGTCTTGTTTATCTTGTCCGTGTTATGACTTGTTTCGTCATGTCTTGTTTATCTTTTTATGTAATTTTCCTTTCCTTTGTGTCCCGTTTTGTCATTCTTTTCTTCTTGTATTGTTTTTTTTTATTATTAAGATACTTTAAAATGGTTAACGAAAATATTTTATTATATTATATCTATTTTACTGTGATTATTAAGACACTTTAAAATGAATTATGATAATAATGTTCATATTATATTTATTCTTGGGAACCTACAAAAACAAGCTATGCTTTCCAGTAGGTTTCTGTTTCATTTCATAATTTTGATCTTACTTTGTCAACTATATTCTTTATTGTGCAAACAATAATTGTTATATGAAATGAATAAATAAAATCAATCATTAAATCAATCAATCAATCAAAAGGTGACGTACAAGGCTAGGCTATTGAAATATCCTTAATATGTTGATTTGTTTAATAAGACAGTAGTTTCGATCGTGTTGATAGTATTATCAATATTTCCTACCTGTCCACAAACTGAACGCGAACACTAACTGACATCCCATCCTGACTCCCCGGCATATGCTGTCTTTTAGAATGAATAATCGCTGCTCGAGAGGCGTTTCCAGATATACCAAGCCCTTCGGTGCTGAAGAACGCAAAGTTTCGTCCATCTTGGTTCTCAAACGCCACCCATTGGTCTGCATTCCAGGACGTGTCTAATGGAGGCGAAGGCGTCTGTGACGGATCATCCAGTGCGTTTAGAAACGCCTGCTTCTGGAGATCTGGCAGGTCGTAGAAGATTCTCTTCGTGTCGCCATATGTGCGCAAGTCCACGAGTCCTCCGACGTCGACGTTGTCGCTTACCGAAGACCATACGGTGATCGAGAAAGAATCTCGAAGACCGAGGAGCCACACGAATTTGGTCCAGGATGTTTTACACCAGACTGCCCTGATTGGGAAGGTGACTGGTTGCGGGTCGAGGGGGTAGGAGTAGTACAGGTTATCGAAGATCATGGTCCATGTGTAGAGTTTATCGGCCATCAGCGGACCCCAACCAGTCGTGAAGCCCAGAGATAATGTCGTCTTGTCAAAGTACCTGCAAATTGCAAGTGTTTTTGGTAATTCTGATGATTGTTACAGATCAAGAAATACCTAGTAGTCAGTATGATTCCCTCTATTGACGTTATAAACGAATTCTGTAATATTGAAAGAAGTTGTACTCTTCCCCAATATCACTTATCACAGCATTATTTGTCCGGATTATTTTTCTTATATACTCTCATGTAACTTCTTTCTCTGGAGATTGATGTCGGTCAATGTAAGCTGTTGATATATTTGGAACAAAGTTAATGTAGGCCTGTTATCATAAGCAATTACATTATCATAGGTTAAATTTGATGAAGAAAGGCTACTGTAAAGCTATACAAATATCTTGTAAAAAGAATCCATTGACACAATGGTACTTACCTATTTGCGATGTCAATGAAGAGTTGAGGCGCCACGGGATCACGTGGTGAGTTTGGACCAATCACGATATCAGCATTGATCCAGAGTGGCGCCTTGAGTTCTGATTCGTACTCTCCAATTAGCTGCATGGAAGGTTCTAGAGCTTCCAGATACTTAAAGTCCAGTTTCATCCCTGAGTTCAATCATTAAAAAAAAACATATCATTACGATAAACATCATGGTGTCCATGCATTCAATATAAAAAAATGAACAATATGTTCTTCTTTTACTAATTACAGCACAAAATTGCATTTTCATTGATTTTTTCTGTTTTGGAGCTTGCATCTCTGATATTCAACTTTGTTCAGCAAAAATCTATAGGTTATCTCTTGCTTCAAAGCTGAGCACTGTTCTTCCTCATCTGAAATGCTCATAACTTGGTTGGGAAAAGTCAATCCACTTGAAAATTAGTGCGATCACGATTTAGATTCTATAGTTCCGAGAAAAAAAACAAGTCACTACCAACCTATGTCAGCGTATTGTGTTGTGACCTGCAGGAAGTGTTCAAGAGTTAGGTCACTATCAGTCAAGGGAGGGTGTGCATGAACGGGAATGTTGGTCTGATTTTCAGTCCCGATACCGCGCAGGATGATATCGGTTTCGAGCATCATGGTGTCGTCTGCGTGGGTAAATAAAAGTAATTGTCACACGTCTTTACGGTAACAACAGTTTAAAGAGGTTAGGAAATGCGCTGATCTTCACCAGGTAAAATGAACATAATGAAACAACAGCAGGAGAAGGTTCAGAGCCACGCAAACATATTTGTTGGCAAAAGGATTAACACATTGAAAGAGCGAGAGAAAATCATAACTTCATAGCATTAATGGTTTGAATTCTTTAGGAATTGGGTCGATTGATTTTTCAACATCGTGGTAAAAATTCATGAAAGTGAAATCAAATGAATGTGTTATGATCAACCCTATAAGCAAGGTAATAAAAATCATTGTTATTTTCCCTTGGGTATAAAAGTGTTCTAGATGAAAAGTGTTCAACGAAAAGTTCCTTATCACGCTGGGGTATTTAAAAGAAGTTCATTACACCTAGAATTAAATATATGAATATATATAAATATACATTATATACACTGTGTTTCAAAATAAAGTTAAACCAAACTCAGAGGATTAATATTCCAAGCTGATTAAACTTTTGTAATTAACATGCAGCTTAAATTGAGAGAGAAACTTCTCAGCTTTTCAATGGTCCCTTACGCACAACACAGATGTCACGCATGAAAAAATGCAGATATTGAAGACAATATATACGAATTCTATTTTTTGCAAGTAGGATGAAAGGCTGAGATGAACACTTTCACTGATGCCGCAACTGAACGAGTTCTTTGTCATTGAACATGGCCACTTTGAATGGCAAGTTTGCAATCTTTTGTATATAATGCAAAATTGAAGGGATTGCTTTTCATGACTGACAAGTGACTAATTTGGGGATTTTCGGGCTCGGTAATTATCAGTTATCATTGCCAAGACGATTAACTTACGATTAAAGCACATCATTTTCTTTATGGTTACAACATTTCACCTGTCAGTGAGTATGCATATATTCAGTTGAAATGTTGTAACCTCAAAAATATTTTTTCCCGCTCTTTCAATTCGTTGGTCCTTTCTTTTTAATTTACCAAAACTAGCGAAAATTGAAATCCCTACATGTGGTTGTTTTCATCAACAATGTATTCGGTCATGCGTGACATCAGTAATGCAAGTGAGGTATAATGGACCATTTTCATAATGTAACCAAATTTAATACACAAGTCGTTGTGAAGTGCCTCAATACAAATTATTTCATTCACCTGATAAGAATAATAGTAATTCAATAGTCGGAATGCAAACTGCATAGGTAGGTCAAGCCATAATGTTTGTCCAACCTTGCAACAACTAATGTATGCATTTTGGATTATGTCTATTGAAATACTATTATTCTTACCAGGTGAATGAAATAATTTGTATTGAGGCACTTCACAAAGACTTATGCATTACATTTGGTTACATTACGAAAATGGCATATTGGAGAGCTGAGGAGATCCCCTTTAATTTTCAGGTTCATTTCAATTCAGAAATGAAATTGAGCTATGAAACCAACCCTGTAAATTTGCATAACCTTCAATTGTGATGCATACTGTATATATATATATATATATATATATATATATATATATATATATACACTTTAGACAGAGCGAAAGAGAGAGCGAGAGACTCAATGCAAAATATTTTTTAAAAAACTCCGTTGACAAGGTAATGGTGTAACAAATTTAAAACTTCTTCAGGTTATGATACTGCGAGAGCTTATATATATATATATATATATATATATATATATATATATATATATATATATATATATGCGATATAATGCGAAAGGAAATGAGAAAATAATGGTTGTGTAGCTTAAACCAAAGTCCAAAATTGCTGTCCTTCCCTCTTTTTTTTAAAGGATTGAAAACGTGTCTCCGTCGGAAATCGATCACGGCTCACTGGTTTAGACCAGTGTCTCTGGCGACACCAGCTTATTGACCAACAGATTTTCAACCTCCATTGATTAACTCCTTTGTGGGGATACTATAGATTAGTTTAGTATCATATTTCATAGTAGCCCATACCCGAGAGACTCTGGTTGAGGTCTGCGATGCTGTTGACTCCATGGGCCCAAATCACGTTTAATCCATCCCCGTCAGTTGAAGGAAAGAAATCCAGTACATTATCGTCCGTATGAGTAGCTCCTTCTATTGACATAATGATAATACCATTAATGATGATCTGACGATAATAACAATAATGATAATAATAGTGATAAATATAATAATAACAAAAATCATAATAATGATACAAATAATAATAGTAATTATATTAATGATAATAATAATAATAATTATGATCATATCAGTGATATTAATTTAAATGTTAACTTTATTTGAATTCAATTGAATTGAATCAATTATGTGTACTGAGGGAAACCTCATTAGCAGTAATGCTGCTCTTCATGACGGCCATGCAATTGTATTACCCCAGTAATTGCCAGGTATTACAGCTGGGTGGAGTGTTTGTGGCAGATTTGGATAAATGTCTCGCAAATGACGTTAGATCCAGGCTGGGATTCTAGCACTTTACCCTTGGACTGCATGAGAGTCAAGTAAATGAACCAATATACCCAACACATCCACAGCTGTTATGTGTTGGGATCGGATTGATGTTGCGCAGTTTACTTTTTATAAATATTGTTTAGAGAGTTAATCATGAGGAACGATGACCCAAATTGATAACAACTTCGCATGTATGTAAATACTGTTAACTTGTATGAACAAAGCTCAAATAATTAATATCAACAACCTAATTACTGTTTTAATAAGTGGGAAGGACACTCTTGATATATAGCTTTAGACCCCCCCCCCCCCCCCCCAAAAAAAAAAAAAAAATCTTTGTTCGCTCGCTTTGCTACCTTGCAAGTATAAATTATCGCCTCATTACAATTAGTTTGTATCCAGCTATTCTCGGGCACGATTACATAAGCAGTAACAATAAATTCACCAATACAGACAGGAATGATAAAAGAGGTGTCAATGTTTAAAGTTTCTTTTCTTTGTGAGCCCTGCTGACATAGCTATGTAATTTTTTTTTTTTTACTTGTGAGCTCTGTAATATCGGATTTTTGTATAGGGAATGTACATGTTGAATAGTAATGTAATCTTTGTATTGATAATTTCCACTTACCTGTATAAACATGGAGGAATACGACCAAGCATATGAAGCGTAATAGCGTCATGATTAATGATGACAAATTAACGTGCGATTGTATTCCACATTGCCGGAACAAGTCATCAACATCCAATAAGCAGCAGAATATTGGCTATTGACTTCGATATGAAATGTTAATTTGCTTTGTCATAATTATCTTCGTGAGATAACGGAATGGCCTCTTGGCATGTTCATACAGTACAAGGTTCAGCTGTGTCTCAAGGTCCATTTCATTGTAGCCCCCAACGGCCTCCAAGCTATGGGACACAGATATATCAGGGAGATGACATCTCCCTGGATAGATACAGTGTATATAGATAGAGAGATGGATAGGTTCATGCGTTGATAGAGCAGACAGCATAGGCCTACTTTGAGCAGAGGGGCTATATGTGGCATGAAACATCAAGTTCTGTTTATAATACGCATAATTTTGCCCATTTGGTAGCAAATAATATAACTACTGATTAAAGGGGAAGTTGACCTTGACGCCAAGCTGGTTTAAAAAAAAAAACCATAACAATGAGAGGAACCATAGTCTATGGAGGAACAGATCAGTAAAAGTTTGAGCCAAATCTGATTAAAATAAGTAAATTATGAACTTTTGAAGTTGCAATCGATCAGACATGAATTGAGAACTTTATGGCGTATCATACGAGGTCCCTTCCCATTTGCTATGTACTAAAAATTAATTTAATGTTTATGCTTTTATTAATACCCATTTTATAAATATCGGGTAGAATTCCTCTTTATCATTTTCCGTCTAATCGGAGCGAGAAGAGTATTTACTCATATGTTTTGACACAATGTTAACACCCCTCTGGCTCTGAACAGAATATACGAAAGCACTTTAAAAACGATCGTTTAGCCACATTTTTTTGCTCCAAGCAATTATTTGTAGGTCTGAACTCCACAAAATTAAACTTGCACAACAAAACTCACACCCTAACGCTTATACTTATGTCAGCACTGTATTGGCGATAAGTCCCATCATTTCGAGAGTGAGTGTCTCTATGGGTCGAGTTTGATGGGGATACCTAAAATATTATTCAACAATAATTATTATCAAAATATTATTTTAAAGTTATTCTGAGATATTTGAACTATAGTCCTTTCCACTGTTATATGGCGCCAGCTTTCGGCACTGGACACGCAAACGACCTCACTCGACGTTTGGAAGTATAATGTATAGGATATTTTAATGTAAACGAATAGAAAATAGTTTCTGTAGAAGAATGGTCAATAAATTTAAAGAGAAGATTGAATTCTGAGAAGAGGTGAAAAATAATTTGTGAGCGTTATCATTGCATTATGTAAATGTGGAAGAACATCAGATACAAAAATGTTCCCTGAAAAGCATGGCTCTTCAAATGCCTTGATAATAATATTCTACTATATGGCGTGTAAGATCATACAAATCGGGACTGATTTTTATGCCACGACACTAACAAGGGAAATTAGTCTGTTTTCTTTTTGTTAAACGTGGTCTTTGGGTTTACCTGAATAGACAGTTCACGGTTAGCACATGTCCCATAATTATGATCCCAAATGTCCACAGATCTTTAAAACATGAAGAGGTCCCACTTTGTACATTCCGAAATAATCACTCCTACAGCGATGGAGGTGCTCAGGGGCGGCGATTTATTTTCATGACCGGGGGGGGGGGCGAAATGCGAGGGACGGGGGAGCAGTACCCTATAATGAGCAAAGACGGGGGTTGGGGGTTGGGGGTTGGGGAGGGGGTAGAAAAAAAAAATCCTCATCCCCACTCTTACATGGTACATGCAGGCCCCGCAGGACGTTTTTCAAACTGTGGGGGGGGGGGGGGCTAAAGTATTTTCGATCAGGTAGAGCAAAGCGAGCGAAGCAAGTGGAGCGTAAATTGCGTGGGGTCCAGGGCAGGCTCAGGCGGGGGTCGAGGGGCGTAGCCCCATGAAGCTCAGGGGTTTTAGGCATTTAATAACGGTCAGCTGAGCAGCCCTCGGAAGGTCAAGGGTTTTAGGCATTTAATAACGGTCAGATGAGCATCCATGGGCCCTCCTTAGAGTCCCTGATGGGGTCCAGGGGGCAGAGCCCCCGGAAGTTCAGAGTTTTTAGGTATTTAATCACGGTCAGATGAGCAACCAGGAGCCAGCCTTAGGGCCCTTGATGGGGTCCAGGCGGCAGATCCCCCGGAAGCTCAGGGAAACCCATGCCATTCCAGCAACATTTGTAAATCACTGGTATCGAGTTAGAAATTTAAAAAAAAAAAGAATTTTATTAGGGGGCAACTACCCCAAAGCCCCACCCCCATCATTACGCCAGGGCGAGGGAGCATAGTGAACGAGAGGGGTGAAGGTGACGAAAGGGACTACCCTCCTCACAGGTTTTTGAAGTTTTGTTGTATTAACAAATTACATTCCTTAGCAAAACAATAGTATAAAAACAAGCAATATATCTTTTTTAACACTCCAATTTTCTCGAATATACACTTTGAGGAATATTATGCGAGGGAGCGTAGCTCCCGAGCGAGAAGATTTTTTTCATTTTCATTTGTCTAAACGCTGCACTCTTGGGCCCTCCAGAGCCTAGAAGTTTGTTGCAGTCTTTAGTCAGTATTTGCTATACATTTATTTTTTTCCCACTTTTTCAATTTTTCAGGGGGGGGGGGGAGCAATCCCCCCTAAAAAAATTGAGGGGGGACGTGTCCCCCCGCCCCCCCCCCCCCCCCCCCCCCCCCCCCCCCGGGATCGCCGCCCCTGGAGGTGCTACATTATTAGTCTCTGTTTCCCCCCTTTTCAAAGCATACTTCCACCTGTGTATCATCATGAAGTTACTATGGTATAAATGAATAATGAGTACATAACCTTCATGAGCACGTATCCAGTTGTTCTATGCTCATGCTCAGACTGCAACCGTGAACTGGCTTATATACCAAAGAGATATCTCTTTGCTTATACCACGGACCATGCAGATTGAGATGATGTCGTTTGCGTATTAGAGCCGAAAGCTGGCGCCCTTAAACAGCTTACCATAGGCATGTGAGAGTACCGGAGAACTATTTTCTCTAATTTTTGTTTGAAGAAAAAAATGCCTAGTGGAAAGAACCAACTTTTTCCACATCAATTTTCCAGTATTAAATATAACTTGATCGAAGGCTGCGAGAGAAAGAGAAATGGAGAAAGAGAGAGAGAGAGAGAGAGAGAGAGAGAGAGAGAGAGAATATGATGAAGAGGAAAATGATGAAGAAGTAGACGAATTAGAAGAAGAAGAAGGAGAAAGAGGAGGAGGGGGAGGAGGAGCCGAAGAAAGTTATGGGTGGTGCATTGTTATATTCTAGATAATGTCGCGAACTAAGACGTAATTGTTAATGGTTGCAAGGATTATGACCAAGAGATGGAGAAAAATAAATTAGCTTCAATAGGAATCACCACCACCACCACCACCCCCACCACCACCACCAACCATTACGACCACTTCCACTTCGCGATAACCCAGCAAAGGACCCTCCCTCGGCCTCCGCCCCCTGCTTGTTGCTGCCTCATGATGCTAGGCTACAGATCGCACGCAATCGGCGCCGCAATTATTTGCAAGATACGCATATGCGCTGCATGCATGGACGGGCGCGCGTAATTTCATTGACGTCGAATGTTCTCCCACTTCCACTTCCTGTTGCAGCGGTCACGAAAATTTGACTTCATCGGGTCAGTTTTGGTGTCTTGTTTTGATTTTGATTTCCTAGACGAAACTCTTGGAAGTTATCATGGCTGATGACGAGCCGTCAGACAGCCCCAAGGCTTCGGATATTTACAACACACCTCGTGTTGTCACCATCTGCAAAAGCGAGACGGGATTTGGCTTCAATGTACGGGGCCAAGTCAGCGAAGGTGGCCAGCTGAAATCTATCAATGGCGAACTCTACGCTCCTCTCCAACATGTCAGCGCAGTGTTAGAAGGCGGGGCAGCCGAGCGAGCCGGTATCATGAAGGGCGACCGGATCTTAGAAGTGTAAGCAATCCTATTTTCACAATTTATGAATATATAAAGTTTCTAATTTATTGTTTCCTTATTATGAAAGATGAGCTGTGACTGTGTGTGAAAATGTTGTAGACATAGAAATGGATGAATGGGACTGCATTGAACTTCTAAACATACTAACATTGTGAGCAATGTTCCATGTTCATTCGTGTAATCCGTGTTGATATTGAACGTAAAATCCTCTTAAAATGCGTCGAGAATATAGATCTAGATACAGTGTGATAACTAATATTCTACACTGTCTTTGCAGAATATATAGACCTAGATCTAGACCTAGAGTGTATCTAGATTATGGCTAGACTATGTCAATGTTGAGTAATGAGACAAATTTTGTTTAGATTCTTGTTTCAAGATACCGATAGAAGTGTTGTATTTGAGTGGTTTAAGCACTTGACTTGCAAGTCAAAGGTCGTGGTTCGATCCCCGATATGGTACTAATGTCCTTTGGCAAGACATTAATCTTCATTTGCCACACTTGACCCAGGTGAGGTGAATGGGTACCTGGCAGGAATTAATTCCTTAAAACGCTGGAACGCTGTAATGGCAATGGGGTAATAATTAATGCACCTCAAAATAGAATTTCTAGATAGACGGCGCTATAGAAATGCCAATAATTATGATTATTATCTTCCAGAGAAAATAGCATGCAGCCTTAACGCTGACACCTTGTCCTTAAGTAAGATATGCACTTAACATCTATTAAGTTTGCTTGCAGATTCAAAGTTTAGATATTGAACTCTGAATAAATGCCAAGAGTTGCCTAATTTTCTTTTACAATTGCCCTTCCTCTATTTTCTAGGCAGTTACACCTCGAAGTTCGAAGTCTTCTTGTTGATTGAAATTTAGTTGTTGCATGTTTTGTTATATCAGAATTGTGAAATTTATAGTGTACGCATTAAGCAGACTCAAGTATGGAGCATCATGCCGTAAAATAAGATTGTTATTCTTCAAAGTTTGTCATTGGTGTTTGAGGTATCATTGGGTCAGAAACTCAGAACTGGACATCTGTTGCAACAGATAAAGAGAGTTATAGGACTGAAAATGCTGTTTACCCAGAATTATTATTAAACATTTTTGTGTCACATGTGCTGACAGACTTAATTGCTGTGATCTATTGGTCTCTCCTTGCAACATAACTGATTGGGGGTGTGCAGGGGCACCACTACACTGGGGTTTCTGCCTACTCTTATATGAATAGTGGCATGCAGTGGGTTCTTAATGTGAAAAGGTAGAGATTTGCCTCTTCATGGGGCTTCCATTTAACATCCTATCCAAGGGATTGTGTGTTTTCCACTTTAACCTACATGTAACCTGCGTCTACAGTGTATATAACAGGGGAGGGGCATTTCAGCACAAAACGCAGCCTGGGTTGGATTCTAACCCATAATATTTGGTTCAACAGCCAACTTACCTTTGTAAATTAGTAATAATTTTTGCAGTCCTAAATACTGATGATTCTTTTTAGGTTTAGCATGCATGTGATGATGATTAGACTAATTGTCTATGGCCATTTTGAAGTCAATGGTGAATTGCTGGATTGATCAATAATGACCAATGAACATTGAACCTAAAGGGCAGGGGCTTGGAGTTATTTACCTTTAAAAAATGATTGATGGAACCCAAATATAGACTAGTAAAGGGTCCAAGTATAAAACAACCATTTTCCTTCTCAGTAAGTTGTACATGTATAGCAAGATTTCAAATGGATTAAAATTCACAAATCCACAACATGTATGCAGCAATGGTTTGCCCAGTCTAGCATAGAAATTTGGGGATCATGCCATTTTCAGCTTCCAGCAAGAACATATAGGGGAAATCACCACGTGGTGGTGGAGATTATTACAAATCGAATCAGCCAGATTCTGGATTAATGTAAATATGTACACTACATGTATGCCACTAAACTTTATATAGTACATGTGCTTCTGTTCAAAATGATATGTTGTCATTTCTATTGGCTTTCATATGATTCTGTCAGCTTTCATGACCTCATTGACCTGCATCCCTAAATTGAATTTTAAAAGAGAGAAGGGAATCTCTCATAAACTCAATTTCTTTTTTTACTTTTAAAGTTCCTCTCTGTTTATTAAAGTCCTTTAAAACACATGTACTCATAAGACCTGGATACAGTAGTTCTATTTAAATTGATTGAATGTTCTACTGCCCTCTTGTGACATAGGCAAATATTAGTTTTGTGTGTGCTACATCAACACAGGAATAATTTAAGTTTGTGAATGCAAAGGATGTGTGTGTTTAACTCTTTACTAATCTGCAAGAGTTTGCATGTACTGTATGAGCAATTAATGAATCATATATACACCTGTACATTGACAACCATTAAGGATGACTAAACGATCCCTTCCCTTCCCCTCCCAGGCACAGACCAATTAATCATTTCTGCACAGTGTGTAATGTGTATACCGGTATGCCTTTGAAACATAACCTGTAATATGAAGGGGACAACAGGTGCCTAGGCGCTCAAAATCTTTGTCCAAACTCCTCCCCAAACTTCACAAGAAGCATCTAGCCCAACAGTAAATCGGGTTATTACAGTTAAGAGCACTAAAATGTTTAAGCGTTTTGCTGTTGTCTTTGAGTTTCGGTAATTACTATGGACTTTCAACAGAAAATCCTGCAAGACTTTCACTGGATTTCTAAACTTCATATGATCTGCCAAATGGTCTGCTACATGTATGTGCATGTACATTTTTACTATTTTGAAATATCATTTCTAGTTGTTATTACTACTACTACTACTACTGAACATGTGCTTTGGAATAAAACCTGGCAGGAATTAATTCCTTGAAATGCCAGAGTACCTAAATGGCCGCCTTGCTAAAGCCAGGGTAATAATCGGGCAGTGCCAGGATCGTCACAACATGCCGGTCATGTGGGCTATATAAGAAGCCACCATTATTATTATTATCAAATAACTAAGAGCCACTATAAACATGCCATGCACATCAATTGTATTTGTACATACACCTGTACATGTTTATTAGATGATGATAAGATTATTGCCCATCGGATTAGAAATATCAACAAACTTTAAAACTAAAAAATGTTACACACACAAAAAAAAAAAAATGTACATGTAGACATATATAGTCCTACCCTAAATCTATGCTGCACTAGTATACTGTGCAAGGTACATGTACTGTGCGTCTATTTGCCATGTCTGTGGTTTCAAGCAGTTTGTCAATATTTGGAATTGACTGAACAACAATTAATAAATCCACACAAAAGTTAAGGCAAGTGGATGTGACATTCACACACAAAAATTGAAAACAATCAGACATGTACATGTATTTTGAGTGGATCTGAAACAAATTTTATCTTGTTATTTTTAGATTTGTAATGGTAAACAAATTCTTCCATCAAGCCAGACATATACCGGTAGTTTGTACAATGTGTTCATGTTGTGAACATTGTACATACATGTACATGTACATGTAGGTCTACCCTCCTTGTGAATTAACAGCCTAATACAGAAATACAAGGTACATGTAAATGAAACCTTTAGTGATGTCTACATGTATGTCCTGATAGATGGCTAATGATCACACTTTTAAATGGTTGGCTTCGCATTTTTGCAACAACGTTCAAAGTCACATTAGGCCTGTTTTCATCAGCTTGAGTTTGCCAAATAACCTGCTATTTTCAGACTGGGGTTGGATATCATCCCAAAGCTCGAAATTCCGCTCATCACAAACTACATGTAGCTCGGACGAGTGCAAATTAGCCCGCTATTTCCCAAATAGCGGGATATTTTGGAAACAAGACCAAGATTTCTGGGATATTGTCCCGACCAAATATCCTGCTAATTGCAACTGCAGGCTAATGACGACGCAAATTAACTGGTTAATTATCGATTGCGATAAGTATTTGGCAAACTGGAGCTGATGAGGACAGGCCTATTGTTCTGTTACTTTATTGAGTACGAAGTTACCATTCCTGTCCTTGGATGGGTGCATCCCCCGTGGTATTCTGACTAATGATCATAAAACGTGCATCTGATGGTGACAGCTGGACATGTTCTGGTTGAGTCACAATTTGTGTACAAGTACATGTACAGGTATGTTCAGCATTTTGGAGTTTTGATATGAAAAGTGTCTGTTTAATACACATGACTTTTTAGTTTTCACACACAGGCACACACACAGGTGCTGTGATATAATGTGTGTATGATTGCTAGAATACTCAGCATGTGCACCTGTAAACAAATTGCATCACATTTATCTAGTGTAAGATTGCATCCTAAAAATGTTATGTAAATATAAATTGTGCTGCAAACGTATAAAATGGCAAAGTAATGCCTCCTCCATTTAATACTTGACATTTTCATTATGTGGAGGAGGTGGAACGAACATGAATTCATGTTCATATATATTCTGTGCACATAAATAATGACATTTTTATTCAAGAATTGACATAAGATCACAAGCTTTTCTTACAAATGTCATATTTTATCAATCAATGTACATGTATAATCCAGCATGTATTGTACACCATGGTAGTACATCTCCACTCATTTCCCAGGGCTTCTTTCTATTCCTCACAAACCTGTTTTGTTGATCACGTTCCGGCCGAAACGTGACCTAGTGACCTGGTTAGATGGAGCTCACAATAGAGGCTGATGGGTTTCCCTTGCATCGGAGTTGACATGGCCCAACTCCTTGGTTGAGCCAAAACTTGCACCCTGCCGATCAACTCTGAGGCACACAGTACATGGAGATTAACATACATGTACAAGTAGTTGGTGATTTACTTAACCTGTGATGCACATTGTACCATTTACATTTTTGTCAGAGGGGTGATGAGTTCCCTTGCATTGAATTTGACATGGCCCAACTCCTTGGTTAAAGATAAAGACCAGTTATGGTCATGCGATCGCATTGTAAAAGAAACGTGGAATCGATCAGAAAAGGTTAATCATCTACATGTAGCATAAAATATTAGTGTGTACTGCA